GAGCGTTACAGCTTCCTTTGAAAAGTACCAGGCAATGAATATGCGGTGTGACTCACTGCAAGTGTCCATTTTCAGTCACCCACGGTGGGAATGCTGACATACAAAGCCATACTAAACAGAGCAAACACAAACGAAGGTACAGGCTAGAAGTAGCACTGATGAGCTCTACAGTGAAGTAAAGGATGCTGACAACCAACTTAAACAATATTCTCAGAAGTGCCCCTTTACCTTCCACCATGTGGGATCAATGCAGGTCACTAATCTGTGGATCGATGACCTTTGTTTATTGATATCCTAATTTTGTCCACAGTCAAATATTCTTTCTAGTGTACATTTACTACTTCATAGTCTTTCTCATCTTTGCTTTGCACCAGTTTTGTTGGAAAATAATTCAAAGCCTGTCTCGTATTGACACCTGTCCCAAATAAAGGTGGGGTTGTTTCATAGACCGAAGTCAATAAAAGCTCGGGCTCTTCGTTTTACGGTACACTTGGGAGACACATTGCACAGTTGATTCATAAAAAGCAGCGCAGATCTTTTCAGCTCACTAAGTTAAATGTTGTATTTGTTGAAGTGGCACCTTATTAACCTTTAGCCAGTGCCTGTTTGACTCCGTCTCAGGGGGCTTATTGTGTTTGTTTGCTTTTCTCTCCTTAGTTGCAGGGCTGTCTCTCTTTTTTTCATTCACTTCCCCTCCTCCTCCTCCTCCTCTCCCTCCTCCGACTGTTTTCTTCTCAGCTTTACTCCTCACAAGAGTCAAGTAGTGACAGTCCTCATTCCTCGAGGTTAAATACAGCGTGACCTTTTGGTTTCCCTACTAAAGGCAGCCTATAACAGTATCTAAAGCTGTCACCTCTCCATGCTGATCTAGAGGGACAGAACTACTTTGGGTGCACTTTATTTTGAAGCATGCAGTTTTGTGTTTCTTCTCTTTCTTTTGGCCTTTTAGCCTCTTTTCTTTGACGCTTCACATTGAAGACAGACCACACAGATTCTGATTCATACCCAAGCTGTAGAAATAAAGTAATTCAGTGTCTTACCTAGGGACTTTGCACATTCATATTCCTCCATTTATCTTAATTTATTTTGCATGCAGTAATTGGCTAAGACACATAGTACAGCTCAATGATCCCCAGCTGCATAAATCAATAGCTGCTGGGCTAATAGAAGGATCTTCTATGTGGCATCCTGATTAATTAGGGTTTTGTTAAATGTTATTAAATGTGACCCACCTTTAAATGCAGAGATAACATATTGTTTATGACCACCAGTAATGTGGCCTCTCTTTAAACAGCTGGGTTTATTAATGCAATTAAAATCACAATCCCATCTCAAGGGTGGCCACAAATATGTTTAAATCATATTCCAGCCAGAGGGTGTTCAGTCATTTTACTTAAAAAACAACAAAAGAGAATCCTCAGGGATTCAGTGAAGGAAGAAAAAGGTGCTCTCTAAACTCTGCGGAAAATATGTTCAGCTTAACTTTAGAGTTTTGTGGCGATCCATCCAGTTGTTGAGATTTTTCTGTCTCATTCAACGAGGTGGAGCACACAGTAAACCACACATCTCATAAGACCTTGCACATTGGTCTGAAATAAATTGCAAATTAATAATAAATGTTTTTTTTCAAATATCTCGGCTGGTCTTCAGCTCTGATTCCTGTGGACTGAATTCAGTCTGATTCAAGATGACTCTACGGTGTGTGACTATTTCAGTTACTCTGCACTCCACTGCTTCAGACTGGTGGAGAGCGACTGAGAGCGCTGCAGGTATCCTGGATATATATATATATAAATGAATGTACACACACAGGCACTCTGAGAGATGGACATGAAGAATTGATGGCAGAGACAGGTGGAGGTCCATTAGGTCACTCTGTGTTTGCTTTCCAGAAGTGCTGATGGTTTGACTCCATCTCATGTAGACTTAGTGGCGCGCACAGATGTCAAGCCAAAGCTGCACTTACTAATGCACAAAAATGAAAACTATTCCCCTTTATATAATAGTTTCTCTCTGACTTTACAGTTAGAAAAATCCAAAATCACTGAATATGATGAGTTCCCTGCCGCCCACGCAGCCGCTTGGACTGATGCCTACTGCACATTTCAGGTAGCTGGCACACACTGAACTGTGACCACTACAGGCGTCCCTACTGAAAACAATGTACCTGACGAACTGCTGAAGGTCATCCAACTTGCACTGTTTGACGCCTGTTTGTTGATTCTACTGATTAAAGTCTGACAAGCCTCACGTTACATTGTTGCTGAAAATCAGGGGCTGTAAATAACACATTTTTATTCCGTAGATGAATAATAAACTAAAAAAAAGGACCTGCAGCACATTTTCCCCTCATTATCAATAATTCATCTGTTCCTTTCTTTGTCACATAAACATTGTGAATCCTGAATTATGATAAAAACATATTTTTTTCAAATTTGCATTTTCTTTTCTTTATTTAACGTGCTCTATTTTCTAACCGTAATGGATTCATTTTTCTGAGTGAAACTCTTCCCGCTCTTTTCCCCCCTTCTTGTTTGTTTTACATAATTGGATTCAATTTCACTTTTCCTGTAGCGCCTAGAAGGATAATTGGGGAAACACAATCCATGCTTTCATGTTAGCATACCAATTACATGTGATACTGATTCTCAGCGAGGCGCTCCTCCAGATTCATTCTTCACATAATCAGTATGTTGTCTTTCACTTCTAGGTCCGGGCCCTTATATGCTCCCCTGTAGACTCCGGTACCTCGCTCCTGGCTGGCTTGCCATATTTCTCCATCCATCCGCTGCAGCTCATCCAGGACTCACACCCGTCTTACATGTATCCCATCCTCTCCCCTCATCTCTTCATTTTGCCCTCAAAAAAATAACCTCAATAAAACAAAAGTTTCTGCTCATTTCGAGTACAGATTTCAATCGAGAGACTCGGGTTAAGGTGCTAAATTATTCAGAGTGTTACTGTAGCATACCCAAAGGTGAATAAAAGATTGAGCCTGAGAAATAAACATTGTTATTTATGGAGTGTTCAGTGTGCTTAGGATATACAGTTCTTTACTAATGGATGGAAACAACACTTTCAGTCGTAGACAGTAGACTTAAGATCGGATCCTTTTTGTTTGTTTTGACAAATCTTCTTTGGAAAATTTGAATATTGTCATTCTTAGAAACTGTGTTTGTAATTATCTAAGTTTGGATTTGTGTGTTATACATTTGACATGTGCTCAAAGCAATGTGTTAATAATAAACCACAACCTGGTTTCACCAATCTGTTTCAAGCAGATGAGCTGTTGTAAATAAGCCAACAACATGATCCACAAAATGCTCACTGAGACATTTTGCCTGCTTGTTATTAATAAAAACTAAGGCTTTGTAAATGTGTTTACATTCATGCCAACACATTATTATATGTTCCCAAAAGTAGACTCAAATAGAAACAGATGAATCTGTTACAGCAGGGGGCTCGGCAGCAGCCGCCATGCTGGAAATCCCGTCTTGGCCAGGACACTCTTGAAAAAGAGATTTTTAATCTCAATGAGTTTCTTTCCTGGTTAAATAAAGGTTTAAAAACAAAAAATCCTGTTTCAGCCTAACTTTCAGTCAACCTAGTGACAGGCTTAGAGCTGGAGCTGAGGCGGGTTTTAAGCCTCTTGACAAACCGTTACATTGCACCCGCCTGTCAATCACGTCAGCTACACGCCTTACTATGGATAAAACACCGTTTTCAAAATCAAAGTGGAGCTGTTTAAAAAAAAAAATCACCCCCGTACATTGTGTGCCCGTGATGACAATAACTAATCAGACCTATTTAGTTTTTTTTGTAAACATGATTATTTCTGCTGTAAAAACAGCTTTTTTGCCTGTTGTGTGTTTGTGATTTACGGTGTTCCTGGAGCCAGCCTCAAGTGGACACTCAGCGAACTGCAGGATATTTCACTTCCACATTGGCTTCATTTGTTTTGGCCCAAGCGGAGGTTGCCGCTTGGGCCAGACCAACATGTGTCTATGCCCCTCAGAAAGTATTGTTCTCTTAAATGAGTTAACCAATAAGTGAGAAGGTCATGGACAACTTTTCATAAGAGACACTGAGCTAATCCAAGCAGACTTGATGATGTTAACACTTGTGAATATTTTTGACTGCGATTATATCCCAATGAATGTATCATCTAGTTAATGTCTTGACTTTAAAGAAGACCTACTCTACTCACTTTCACCATTAATCACATCAGTCTGGGACACCTGTTGAGTAGCGTTGCGAGATGTGTAGCTCAAAAACCTCCTTATTTATTCTATACCAGCGTCCGTTACATCCCTCATTTCAGCCTCTGCCTGAAACAGTTAATTTGAGCTGCTGTCTCTTTAAGGGGTGGTCCCCTCTCCCCATGTGCCCACTTTCCTCCGATTGGCCAACTCTGTTTGCACTTGTAGGGAAATCTGAGTGAGTTTCTGGGTGGATGTGTCATTAAAAGAGTTGTTGGGTGGGCGTGTCCTAAAACTTTGATCTATGCTTTGCTCTGAGTATCTTCTTTTTATGGACGTCCAACATCGTAACATTATATGAATGTATTTAAATAAGGATCAGAATAATAGATCTCCTAACTGTAAAAAAAAAAATCTGCTTTATAAAAAATAAAAAAGAATCATTCTCCGTTTGCCCCTCACTAACCTGGACATAAACTCCCCGTACTTCCCTCGCCCCCCCTACCTTAAACTTTTCTTCAGCACATCATTTAATAAGAATTTCTGTAAGGATTGATTTGTTGCCATGACACGACAGGCTCAGCGAGGTGTTAGTTAAAATTCAGAGTGCAGATGTTGTTTCCATTTCAGTCTCTGAAATGACGAGACGAGCCTCACTCGAGGACAGCGTGTATAAATGTCAAACACTCGACAATCTTCAAAATCCTCAAAACCTGCATAAATTACAGTGAAGTAACAACTTTACACACGCACACACACTTTAAAATACAATTGCATACGGAGAGAGTGTAACTGAGTCTCTTTGTTTTCATTGTTCTAAGTACTTTACTGTACCACAGAAACATCAGAAAAGAGCAGCAGTTTACAGAATGACACAGAGATTAAGACGACATATATATTTCATGGCTTTTCATTGTCACTGGAGCAAATCTCATCACTCTGAGTTTGTTCCCTTATGTACAGTTAAACACCAAATCCTGGTTCTTTATAAATGGTTTTGCTTTAGTCCGTGGAATCACAGCAGCAGTGACAAAAAAATAAACTTTAAATCTTCTTTCTCTTTTAAGGTGACTTCAACAATTTAGGGGGAAGGGGGGTCAAGATTTTTTCCCCTTTCTTAGACATGCATGCAGGAGTCTCAATAGGATATGCTGTAAGAATCTAAAGAGCTATGGCACAGAGCTGTTTGATGTCAAAAAATAAATCACAGCTAGCATGTGTTTACAAGATGGGACATTAAAGTGTACAGCACTTTTCATTATCGTAAATATCTTCTGTTTCGTTCGTCTTTTAACGAGTTTTAAGAGTTTTTAATCCTCTGAGAAGTTTTTGTCTTAAGAGAATCGCCTGAACTTGACGAGTTTCTGGAAGGCCTGTTTGAACTCGTCGTTGAACGCGGTGTAGATCACAGGGTTGATGAGGGAGTTCAGGTACCCCAGCCAGGTGAATATATCAAAGAGCAACGGGTCGAACCAGCACTCTTTACAAATGGCCAAGACCAGCGTGCCCACAAAGAACGGCAGCCAACAGACGATGAACGCGCCCAAGATGATGCCCAGCGTCTTGGTCGCCTTCCTCTCCCGGGCCGCGCACAGCCTCTTCCTCTCCAACACGCTGTCTGCCAGCTTCACTTTCACACTATTCATGAACAGCGGTGTCCCACCTCCTCCTCCTCCTCCTCCTCCTCCTCCTGCTGCCAGAGCGTGTAGGTGTGCTTCCTGGTTGGAGGCAGAATTAAGAGAACAGAGAGACGAGCCAGCAGAGGTCTGGATGAGCTGCGCGGTTGTGAAACGTTTCCCGGAGGACGGCGTCTTGAAGATGCGGGAGCGGGCCGCCACGTAGATGCGTCCGTACAGGATGATGAGGAGCACCGTCGGCACGTAGAAGGCGCCGAAGGTGGAGTAGAGGGTGTACGAGATCTGATCTGTGTTCACCATGCACTCTGTCACCTCCTCGTGGGCTTTGGCCTGCCGCCAGAAGAGAGGAGGCATGGAGATCGATATCGAGATCACCCACACTACGCCGACCATGACCGCCGCCCGGCGCATGGTGCGGCGTTTCGAGTACTCCAGAGCGTCGGTGATCGCCCAGTAGCGGTCCAGCGCGATGACGCACAGGTGCAAGATGGAGGCGGTGCAGAAAGTGATGTCGGACGACAACCAGATGTCACACACGATCTGCCCCAGCGACCAGGTCTTGCTAACGGTGTACAGGATGCTAATCGGCATGACTAGGATCGACACGAGCAGGTCCGTGACGGCGAGGGAGCCGATCAGGAAGTTGGCGGGCGTGTGGAGCTTCCGGGTCAGGAAGATGGTGGCGATGACGAAGGCGTTCGAAAGCACGGTGGCCAGGGTGACGAGCGCTAAGATTGCGGAGAGGGAGATCTGGAGGCCGAGCAGCGTCGCCTCGCTCCACGGTGGGGCCGTCGCGTTGTCGGGCATCTCTGTGAAGTTGCTGGTGAAGAAATCCAGCGAGCTGTTATCCAGCTCCATCATCGCCTTCAAACTTCTTTTCAGAGCAGCCTGAACATCGTTAGCTTAGACTGCACATGGATCAGCTCAGGCTAAAGCTTGTCTGTCATCATCCTTCATTATTTCCCATCCTTTGTATTGCAATTTTGATTTCACATCCACCTTTAGCAAAAACATTTTACTCCATCATTTCAGTTCTCCGCAAAATGCTCCTGTAATTGAAGCCGGCTAATTGGACCATTTTGCTTCCCTCCGATATTGAGTCGCCTCACTTTTGTTGCTGCAGGGAGACAAGAATCCTAATTGGTATTCAGCTCCGGTCAGACTGGCCACGTCTTTTCTCTCTCTTCCCCAGTTCTCTTATCTCATCTCCAACCAGCAGACAGCAGGCAGCAACACCTTCAGACCGTGCCTTTCCTATCTTTCAGATGCGTTAATGGGCTCCTCCTTTTCAATAAAGCCGAGCGGGGAGCCACGTGTAGGAAGAAGATGACGACAGATACACAAGGTTTGGCTTGTTGTCTCTCTCTCTTATCTCTTTTCAAGCCCATGTGAAGCCTTTAATATTTTGGGGGGCCAAACTTGATGTTTCCTTGTCTGATTTTTTACAACTTTGGAAAGCCTGAACTAAAAAAGTTACATCCACATCAAAGAGAGGCGAAGAAAATCATCCAGCTTGTGGATGTCCATGCAGTTTTTGTCAGTTTTATGAAAGTTTGCTGAAAGTTCCCTCTGTTGAATGCTCGCGTGTTGGCTTATCCCTGTCCCCGTTCTCATGACGTGTCCTCTGCATTATCTTCATCCTAAGTGGAAAGAACGAGAATGACAAATAGGAAGATTAGTTGTATTCAACTTAAACATGCTTCCATCCCCCACGCTGAGCAAAACACCCACACGACAAACCCTGCACTTAAAGGAGAGTAAATGATCAACCCGTAATCTCCGTCTCGACCTGTTAATGTATCAGAATGACTCCGTACACAGACTCGACACCCACACGCCTCAAGCCATCGTTTGAATTTTTAACAAAATCTCCAGGAAAAAAACATTTTTAACATTTCACAAAGTCATCACCTGTTTGCTTTGAAATCACACTGAGTACAAGATGATCCATCCTTGACAGCTAAAAGGCCAAAAGATGAAACTTTAATTAATTGAAACTTTACATCTAAAGCAGTGGTTTTCAAGTTGTGGTTTTGGACCCAAAAGTGGGTCGCGCAGCCGGTTTCAGTGTTCTTTCTCCCCGTTTGTTTTTTTTTTTCCTTTTCTTAGTTCTGTCACATGTTTTGTTCAATCTGAGGTCCAAAGTGTACAATCTTTTCATTAAATAACTCTAATTGGTTGAAAAATAGAAGAACGTTGTGTAGGGATTCTCATGATGAAGTTGGTGGAGGGTCTTGATGAGGCTAGACCAGTTAGCCGGTCTGAAGCGCAAAAATTCCGCATTAAAAAAAAATCAATGATCGCAGCAGAGAAGAGAAACTTCCCATGTTGCTTCCAGGTCAGAGAAGACAGAGAAAAAAAAGTCATGACAGGATGATGAGCTGACTCCCTTTTCATGTACAATGAAAGGAAGTGAATGTGATAATGTGGCTTCAGGTCCCAGTGGGGAAGGAGGACTGGAGAAGACTGTTAATCAACGCATTAGTCTTCCCCCTCCCCTCCGGCCGGCCCAACAATCTCTACGTGAGATGTGCTTTCATTTATTATTTAACAGCAGCAGAACTCACACTGTCCACTTTAAATTCAGAGGAAACAGGAAAAACATACATTAAGTGTCATATTTAATAGACTCATCAGCTGTGAAACCTCTTCACTATATCACAACCCACAGTCCTGTCAGAGGGGAACATTGAGATGAAGTGTTAATCTTTTTCTGTAATGTAGTCTACTATTTGTTATGCATATGTGCATTTCTTTACGCCTATGAAAAATATTTTTTTTAACCAAGCATGTTTTTTTTTTTGCAGCTAAAAGAGATGGATTAGGATGACAAAATGATGTTGTGTGAATAGATTTACACGGAGGTTCATTATTTCCTCAGGACCGTTTTGCATTTCACACATCAGTAAGCGATGAAGTGATGTTGGAATTATGAAGACACAAAAAAGCTGCTGAAAAACAAACATCAGTGTCTGCCAAAGTAATTACACATGTTTGCTTTTTTGTCACAGTGAACGCCTCCTTCCACCGGAACATTATGAGTGTCAGGGCTGACTTTTTTTTTTCCTCGCCTTTTCCCGATGTGCGACTCTCAAAAAAATTCTTGATTAAATGAAGTGTTGATTGGCAGCCTGGCTCTCAGGAGGGATTACTGTGCTTGGTTGGTGACAATAATTATATTATATTAAACAGTAGATGAAAAACAATCTTGTCTGTTTTAGCCATTCATTTGCAGCCTCTCAGGAGAGCATGACTGTGTTTGTTTGCCAACCTCTGGGATAAAAAAGAACTGAAATATTGTGCTTTGATTATCCAATACACTGCTACGTCCAACATACGGGAGATTTGACGGTTAAAAAGTGCAACTTCAGTGTTTGTTTCATCTTCTTAACGTCCGACTACGTGAGAGCAGAAAACCAACAGAAAGCTTCCTCACGTCTTTCAAACACATTTTCTTTACCCCCAGTGTTTCATCCTGCAACAGGACATTCAAATGGCCGTGATGATATAGATTCCTGATATTGATCCCTACATCAAAGACATATTCTTGGACAGCAAAGGAAAAGGGCACTGAGTCCAGAGTCCAGAGTCCACCCAGGCAAACACGTGCTGAACATCCACACACACACACTGAGACGCACAAACGCCGGTCGAACTGAGCCCTGCTGATCTGCACTGCAGCTTTTATGAATTTTAATAATGCTGCAGGACAGATATAGCTCAGTATCGTTACTGTGTAATGGTCGGAGACAGTGTGGGAGCAGCTGTGTTTCCAGTTTGTTTTTCACATTTTACAGGATAACTACTGAGAAGCATTGATGAGTAAGAAAAAATAATCAGCATGCCGAAACAAGTTCACTTCTTCCTCCAGGTTTTGGTTCACGCTTAAGTATTTTTCGACTATAAAACTCATTTCTTTAGGGTTATCAACCTGTTGTGTGTTACTAAGTCTATTTTCTGGACTCAAAGTTGTGTAATGCAGGCTTCAGTTAGGCTACACATACCGTAAGCTGGGACAATAAAACAACAACGATAATTATAATGTAATGTAATTTTTTCACTAAAATAGAACAAATGTTTGAAAGATTTAAAACTTCCATTACACCAGAAGAACTCTACAAACCTTTTCCAGCATTTGAAACAATATCCCCCGTTAGAACACGGCGAAGGAAAGACATGACCAAACGTCCCAACCTCAGCAAGCAGCGGGCGAGTAAACTGTGTTACTCCCCTGCAGCAAACTGTCATATCAGCGTTTTCCAGCTCCGTGCACTGAGCTTATGATTGTGAGATGTTCGTCTCTTTGATTATAGTTCATCATGTTCTGACAATAAAGAATAATTAAACCACCATTAACAATCGGATTTCTTCCACTTTCACTGAGAAGCAAAAATCAGACTTTCAATTTGAAAGAAATAATGATTTGACATTAATCTATAAATCCCGGAATCTGTGTATGTGTGTGTTTGTGTGTCTGTGTGTCTGTGTGTCTGTTAGTTTCTACTCAATCATTGGTCCGATGGACGTCAGACTTAGCGGGTGTGTTGCCGTGGACTCAGGGAAGTGCAGTGTTGATTGTGAAGTTTAGATGAGCTCAAATTGTTGCTGAAACATTTTAAATCGTTTTGCTGTGGCGCAACACGACGGAATCAAAACTCACTGGCAACAGGAGACGAGCGGAAACAGTACACACGGCGCACGCGCAGAAGGAGACTCGTCCGAGGAAATGTTCTTTAGGAACACGTTAGCTAACCGCCATCAGCAAAAGTCGGATGAAATCCCTTTCCTCACTAGGACTACACGTTGCCCCTAACCAGTCCTCACCAGCCAAGTTCTCACCAAAGAAATAACAAACAAACACATTCTGAACGGACACTGCACTAGTCGTGATAATTATCGATATCGACTGATGTGACATTTTTTATCGTGATGACATCTTAGTCATATCGCCCAGGCCTACAGTAGAAACACATAGCAACATCACGGATAACCCCCAAACACATCACCATGACAAGATCTTCAGCTAACTCCAAAAAAGCAGTTTTTTACACACTGTGTGGTCCTCCTAAAGACAAGGAAACCAAAATTAATTTAAAGAAAAAAATATGTGGAGCTGCCCTTTGAAGCTCTTATCATAGTTTTTTTTTTTTTTTGCTTCACGTGGACATGTGAAGCAAAACATCCCGTGTAGATCTATTAGAGATAGCTGTAACTACTGATGGATGAAGCATTCCACAGTCTGGCTATACTGTACAGTCCCACTTCACTGCTTCACTGGAGACTAGATTGATAAGCACACAGAGAGGTAATGATGCTCTGTGCTTGTGTTGTAGTATTCACAAAGCATGTCAGCATCAGCTTGTTCCTTTTCTTGTCTGTGTGTCACGCTGACATGCTGCTCTATGTTCCACAGTGAACATCATTTCCCAAACACATGCATACAGCAGCACGTGTGATGGATGGCAGACGAGCTTATCCGTTTACACATCGAACAAGTCAAAGACTAGGCCGGTCTCTGCAGGGTCTGGATCACAACCAAATAAGATAATGAGGCTCATAATGAATGAACGAACGAGAGGAAAAGATTTTCAATCAGGAACAGGCCTCGTCTAATTTGGGCGGTGTACCATTTGTGTGAAATTGTTAGCATCTACATCTGGCTCTGAAATTGAAGATCTAATACAACGAGGCATGGCTCAGTCTGAAACGATGAAACAAGCATTTATCGTTGATATCGCAGAAAACTTTAAGAAAGGATGTGAGACAAAGCCATATCATCAATGAGGAATCTCAGAATATTCATTTAGCAGCCCTGCTTTGTCGGCTACAAATTCAATTCATCCTGTCTGGGACCAAATCCAAGCAGATGCTGCAGCTTGTACGCAGCCTGTTTGTTGGTCTGGTGAAACAGTTAAACCCCTCTGAACCCGGCAGACCATGAGACCAGCGCGTGGCCCTGCAGGGAAAAAAAAGGATAATTGATTTAACTTGGAGGAGGTGGAGCTGTCGCTACCGCTGCTTTCAGCTAATGTCTGCTGTTTACTCGAAACGGTAGGTGAGCACAGGGATGTACTTTGAGCTGTCTTTAGGTGGGTGGGGGTAGAACATCAATGAAGAGGAAGGTATGGGATTGGTTAGCTGATAAACGAGGAATGATGAAGGAGGAGTCATGGGAGCAGTCTATTGTAAGCCCAACAAGAATCTGTTTTCCCCCCATCAGATCAGACAAAATAAAAGTTCCTAATTTCATCTGGTATTTTTCATCCCCTATCCTTAACCATCTCAGATTGATTTGTAAATCTTCTCAGTCCAAAATAAAGAATAAATGAGCCTTTAGACTTGCATATATGCTTATGTGAGGCTCCTTCAGTCATCACACCCACATTCATTACTTTAAAGGTGGAGTCAGTGGAAATGTCTGTTGCAGCTTGTAAACACAACATTTAAACTGGGCCCCTCCTCCTGGGCTGATTGGCCCCAGAAGTGCACATGCACTGCAGGACATAGTGTGTCCATTAATGCTTGTACCTACACTGCAAGCTACTGCACACTAGCATGAGCTAATCGCCGGTGTTTGGCACCGGCCTGTCCAACAGACAGCAGGCCAACTCTGCATCGGCAGGTGAAAGCCAACACAAGG